CCCAAGCCAGGCCATTGGGCGATACAGTGCAAAAGGGAGTCACCCGAAGAGTAAAGGCACTTTGCATTCTTGTAACCCCATTGGCTGTTTCCAGTATGACGAGTCATGAGATTTGGCCAATCAGACGCGAACTTTAAAAGTCACTTCATTTACATATGGCCCAGGGGCTTACCACGGATGTGGATCAGACTGTAGTGTCTCTCATCAGGCAAGTTTGGGTTATGTGTCTGAAAAATACTATGATGGGTCCTGCTTGTGATTAGTCGCTTCCTGTAATGCCGCTTTGTCGGCCTTTCTGTTTGATGGCAGAGAGCAGAATCTGTCAGTTTAGCTGTTGTAGGTGCCACATTTTTTCAAAGGCTCCCCAATTCCAGTTTATGCTGCTTTTCATGGAGTTTGTTTCGTAGTTTAGTTTTCTTAAACGCTCATGGCCCCAAGTACAACCGGCTTCAAGTCGTTCGGTCACTGACTCACACTTTGAGGCGGAGTTCTACCACCTGGCTGCGGTCAGGCCCTTCTACCCTCAGCTGGAGCCAGCTCCCTCGCCGTGGCTCCCTGAGGTCGGCTGGTGCAGTAGTTCTGTCACCTGGGGAACTCAGGAGTGCAGCGTCAGGTGACGCAGCAATGGTGATTGGTTTTATGAATTAGCATCAGGCTGGGAAAAGTTAATGGTATCTGCTGACTTTGAGGCCGGTATTTTTGCGGACAATCTGAAGATGCTTTCCCTCTGAAGAACTAGGAAATCAGGAAGGCTGGTGCCCCTCGGCAATCCCCCCTCCCCACTCTGCCCGACAGCTAGCCTTTGAAAGGCTAATGAGTAAAATTCCTGAGCTAGCATGAGAATATAAAACTTTACAAATAAAAAGAGAAGAATCTCACAAAGATTGGGGCTAATTGCCCTTGTAAAGGAAGGTACACTTATTTAATTCAACACCATTTTAATTAAAACCCCATTTAAATTCAATAGTGACTAATTCATTTGGTAGTGTTGTGGGTTACGTTTGGGGGCTGCTACCGGAAAGGTCAGCAGTTCAAAACCACCAGCTTTCTTGGGAGGAAGATGAGACTGTTTGCTCCCTTCAAGAGTTAAACTCACTGCCATTGAGGCAGTGCCTACTCGCAGCGATCCTATAGGACCCGGCAGAACTACCCCTGTGGGTTTCTGAGCCTCTGTGATGGTAACTCTTTATGGGAGTAGAAAGCTCTTGCTGTTGAGTGACCTGTGCCCGGGAACTGGGGACCTTGAAGATCGTAGTTCAATGATAACTGATAGGAAGGAAGATTAGGGACAAAGAGTGTTGGCTCCACCAAAAGCCAACGCTAAACGAAAATTAGCTGGCCATGCCACAATCAAGAGGCTTAAAGTAAATCAGGCACACATTAGAAAACTACGGGGAAGATCCAAAGCTGGGCATGCAGAGACCAAGGTCACTTAGGCAGACGGGCGAAGGTCACCCTGGGCATGCACATTAAGAACCACACATGCGCCTGAACCCAGCCACTAAGAATGGCCAATACCCTCAACTACGCACCCCTCTCAAGTGGGGGTAGGAGGAGATCAATAGCAGAGATCCAGGGCAGGCCTGTCTCTTTTCTATTCAGTGAGTGAGGTCTCTTGTGCCCTTCCCACCTTTTCAGTTGGGAGCGCCCTCTCTTTAGGCAGAGCTCTTTCCCCCCCCCCCTCCCCCCCTTTGGTTCTGTGGACTCCTCTTTCGGGCCATTTTTCCATGTGGTTTTTCACGCTCCCCTGAAGTGGCCATTTTCTCGCACAGCCCCAGCCATGAGGTCTTGCACGCTTTCCAGAAACTGCGTGTACCACCTAAGACTGTCTTATCGGAGACTTCCCTTTCCCTCGCAAAAGTTACTTGACTTTACAAAGGTACTTCTGCCGCGTGAATGTTTACAGCGTTGAGAAGCGAGAACGGGGAAAACCCTCCCAGAACCGTAACATAACCAGGAAGAGTTACAGTCTCGGTAACCCATTGGGGGCAATTCAACTCGTCCTATAGGGTCGCTATGAGTGGGAACAGACTGGTTGGCGATGAATTTGCCTTAGTAAACTAATGGCTATTCCAAAGTGGAGCTGAAATTTTACAAAAGGATAACCTTGTTCTCCTTTCAAGTGGAAGATATATATATTTTTTATCATTTTATTAGGGGCTCATACAACTCTTATCACATTCCACACATACATCAATTGTGTAAAGCGCACCTGTACATTCATTGCCCTCGTCATTCTCAAAACACTTCCTCTCCACCCAAGCCCCCGGCATCAGGTCCTCATTTTTCCCCTCCCTCCCCGTTACCCGCCCCCTCACGAGCCCTTGGTAATTTATGAATCTTTACTCTGTCATATCTTGCCCTGTCCGACGTCTCCCTTCACCCACTTCTCGGGTGTCCATCCCCCAGGGAGGAGGTCACATATAGTTCCTTGTATCCGTTCCCTCTTTCCTACCCACTCTCCCTCTACCCTCCCAGTATCGCCACTCACACCACTGGTCCTGTAGGGATCATCTGCCCTGGATTCCCTGTATTTCCAGTTCCTATCTGTACAAGTGTACATCCTCCGGTCAAGCCAGACTTGCAAGGTAGAATTTGTGTCATGATAGTGGGAGCGGGGAGGAAACATTTAAGAGCTAGAGGAAAGTTGTATTTTTCATCGTTGCTACATCGCACCTTGACTGACTTGTCTCCTCCCTGAGACCCCTCTGCAAGGGGATCTCCAGTGGCCTACTAATGGGCTTTGGGTCTCCACTCACACTCCCCCCATCATTCACTGTGGTAATATTTTTTGTTCTGATGATACCTTATACCTGATCCTCAAGTGGAAGATATTATATTCAGTTTACTGTCAATTCTTATGCGTATTTTTTTTAAAAAGTGAGAAGAGCAAGACTTTAGAGATAGCTTAGTGTCCCGGGAAGAGTTGTGGGTAGTTCAGACGGTGACGGGCTACGCTGCTAGACAAAAGACGGGAGCCCAAACCCTGCTGAGCACTGCCAAAGGCAGGCTCAGTCAGCAATCTGATCCCAAAGGTTACAGGCTTGAAGCAGTTCTATTTTGAAGGCGTGGGGGTCTCCATGAGGCGGCCTCAACTTGAGAGCAACCAGTAACAACAGTGTCCTGGCTTTGAATGATGCATTTTTAAAAATCACATAAATACGTACTTCAATTGTGCATTTGAAAACAGAAGCTACTTGCACATTGCTCTCTTCATGGTTGAAGGTTTAATAAGACTGCAAAGTCAAAAACAGTATTTCCCAAAAAGGACTTTATAGAGAGTATGTGTCTGAAAGTGCATGGGGGCTTCAAAAGGTTCCTAGAAATTGTCCGTTCTTCCATGAACTTTTTGAAGCCCCTTGGTATGTATCTCCAAATTGAAAACTATTCCCATGAAGAAACAAAATACCTCAGATATGCATTCTTTAAATTGATGTGTGGAAGAGAGGAGGGGATCTGGGACAGCTGTACAGTGACTGCTCTATTTCCCTCTGGCAACCATGAAAATCTTATTTTTAGAATCATTTCAGCAGTAAATTATTTTTGTTGCCGCTAATCCGCTAATCCCTTTCTATGCCCCAAATTTCTCCTGAAAAGAATCTGAGGAGTCTGCTGAGGGTGGTCTTCAGACCTGCTGTTGGATGGACAGAGCAGCCTACACTTTTTTGTATGCCTGAGAGAACTTGGAGAGATGACCAGAGCAAAAGGGTTTCAACATTATTAGTACAAGAAGCCATTCTACCCCAACAGCCTTTAAGACTGAGAAAAGAGTGTTTAACAAGCATTCTGAGGTGAGAGGCTCTCATGATGTGAGCAATCCCATAATAAAAGTTGAGCATAAATTCCAGAGGTTTATTTAAGGTCTAAGGAGCTCTAGTGGCACAAATGGTTATAAAGCATTGGGCTGCTAAGGTTAGTGGTTCAAACCCACTAGTCACTCTTCAGGAAAAACATAAGGCTGTCTGCTCGAGTAAAGGTCTAAAAGGTCCGAAACCAAACTCACTGCCATTGAGTTGATTCCAACTCACAGTCACCTTTGGGTTTCAAAGACTCTTACACTTTATCGGAGCAGAAAGCCTCATCTTTCTCTTACACGGCCACTGGGGGTCTCGGGCGATTGACCTTACCGTTTAGCAGTGCAATGAATAATCTACTATGCCACCAGTGCTCATGGGTCAGAATGGAATTGGTGGCTGCGGATTTGGGAGGGTGGGGTGGCTCCCATAATGATTCAGAGTCTCAGAAACCCCAAGGGGCAGCAGTGCTTCTCTGTCCTGAAAGGTTGTTATAAGTCAGAACTGACTCAATGGCATTGGGTTTGGATCTAATGTGTGGCAAATATGGCTTGAACCTTCTGGTGCTACTTGAAAGGGGTACCACTGATCTGTTTCTATTAACCATCACCACTTTCGTAAACATCAAGTCAAACCTACCTAATATTTAAGGGGGTGGGGGAGGTGTTAAATTGTGAAACAAATATACAACTTGGAGTAGATCTGAGGTAAATTGTACCATAAGCAGATTTTCTTTTAAGTGGCTAAACAAAGTTTAAAAAAGCAAATAGCAATAAAAGAAAATGTTTCAGGTACAGGACCAGCAGTATAGGAGTATAAATAGTATAGGAGTACCTGGATGATACACCCATTTTGCAATCATGCAACTTGAAATATTGTTTACTGTCCATAGTCCATGCAGTCACAACCCCACTCTTTAACAGCAACATGCTAACAGTGCTTAGAGAAAATGACTGAAGGAAAAAAAGGCATAACCCAGGTGTTCTCTTGTTTGACTAACTCCATCTAAGTTTAGATGTGCAGAAGGGCTTAGATATAGCCGGTGTAAGCCACATGCAACCTATTACTCAGTCAGTTTTCTAAAGAAAGGTTTCAGGACAAGGCCAGTAAGGTGAGGGGAGGAAATATGGAGGACTGAAGTTCTACTATGTGCATATATCTTTTGACAGCTCGGGGTACCCTTTTACAGCTAAGTTATAAAGAAAAGACAAGTGAATAATTTTATATAAGAAATTTAACAGTCTGTACAATATATTATCTTTGCTGTTGTCTGTCATCTGTACAAACTTCATAGTTTACTTGACCACCACCATTAATATCTGCTTCATCAAACTCTTCATCTGTTGACTTCTCTCCATGGTTTGTCATCGGGTGACAAAGTTCTGCTGCACTGTTAGCCATTGCCACCCGCGGAATGTTTCTCTAATTGCGTCTTCACTGTCTGTGCCCTTCACTTCTCTTGCCTTCCAGAAATTCAAGGAAGTCGATTGTGCCATTACCATCAGCCTCTACTTCATTAATCGTGTCTTGTAGATTTGTTTCTGTGGGATTCTGCCCAAGAGGCTTCATAATCGCTCCCCGTTCTGTTGTTATCGTTCCATCACCATCCTTGTCAAGCAGTGAGAAAACAAACAAACAAACAAACAAACAAACAAACCACTGCCATCAAGTCCTGCCCACTCATAGCAACCCCCGGAATGCTTTACAGTAGAAAGGTTTGTCTTTCTCCAAAGGAGCAGCTGGTGGTTTTGAACTGCTGACCTTGAGAATTGCAGCCCAGCGTGTAACCACTTTGCTTCTAGAGCACCAGGCAATGGTGAAAAAGCTACGAATTCTCTAATCTGCCTTTCAGTCAATTGATCGCCCATGCTTCAAGCGCTACAGGTCTCTGAGAAGCATTCCCACAACCACTCAGCTTGCTAATTCCACTCAGACTCTAAAACGAATGTTTTTGTATTTGAGACATTCCATAGTGAGCTAAGCATTGGTCTGCTAATCACAAGGTGAACATTTCAAATTCACCAGCTGCTCGGTGTGATCGACTCGATGGCAGTGGGTTAAGGGTGAAGGCCAGCGTGTGAGCTTGCTCTGCTGAGCGAGTAGAAAGAGAAGAACCTGAACGCAATGACTTGGAGCCCATTTTGACCCATGAAAGCAAGGAAGGTGCAATTTTAATTTGTATGTGGTTACTTCTGTTACTTCTCTGTCTCTAATTATTAACCCTGTCCCTGAGACTATTCCTCAATGTGTTAAGGAAAATATTAAAGAACTTGACCTCAGATAGAGTTATCTAAAAGTACGTAGAAGATGGCTGTCAGTTGACAGGGGTGCAATTTCCATGCTTGCCGTAGGCTCTGTTTTCCATAGATCTGTCTGTTTCACATGAACTCTGATGTAGCACTCCAAAATGGATCTATTTGAGTAGTTAAGCCTGAACGAGGCTCACTGTATAAAAATGAATACATTCTTGTAAAATTTATTTGTTACTCCCAGACTTTTCCCAGTATGCATAAAAGAATAAATAAATAAACCTATTGCCTTTGAATCAATTCCAACTCCTGGGGACCCTGTACGTGCAGAGTACAACAGCACTCCAGAGTGTTTTTAAGGCTGTGATACGTCAGCAGATCCTGAGGGCTGACTTGAGAGACACCTCTGGGTAAGTTTGAACTGCCAACGTTTTAGCTAGTATTTGAGCACTTAACTGCTTATACTACTTTTAGCCAGTATGTCAGGGGAGCCAGCCCCTAACAAATCATCACAGGGCTGGTAGGTGCAATTGTACAGCGATAATAAGTAAAGATTATAGTAGAGTCATAGAGAATAAGGAGAGATAGAAGACAGATTGAAATAATGGAGTCAGACACATTTCATGGTAGCATGCTCACCTCAGCCCCACTTGGTGGTCCATGTGGAGATGGAAGACAAGAGGGCAGAAGAGAGGAAGAGAGAGAGAGAGAGATTTATTGCTAACCAAGGCTTATGTATCTTTGGGGGTGTACATGTAAAGGCAGTACAGGTAAAGACATACATCACAGGAAGGGGTTGTATAATAGGCAATATGAGCAATAGGAGGGGAATATACAATGGTCATAAGCGTAACGGGAAGGGGATGAACTAGGAGTATACACATGATAGGAAGGGGAGGGACTAGGGGTATACATGTAACAAGATGGGCAGACCCTAGATTCATGATGGCAGCCTAACCTTGGTCACCTTGAGTGGGCTTGACCTCCCTGGGCTCTCATTCAGGAAACAAATCTACTACTATCCTTATCAGAAGGGAATGGGCCCTACTTAGGGTGGGACAGACTTTACAGTCTTATTGCTCTAGAGCAGGCATCCTCAAAATACGCCCTGGGGCCACATGCGGCCCACCGAGGACAGGACATTTATCCGGCCCGCCGGGTGTTTTTGTCCTGTTTGTTTTTTTACTTCAAAATATGTGGTGTGCGTCGAACGGATCACTGAAGACAAATGGGTGCATAAGCAAATGTGGCGAAGAAAGCTGATGGTGCCCGGCTATCAAAAAGTATAGCGTCTGGGGTCT